TATAGGGTCTCTATGAGTGGAAACCTACTTAATGGCACTTAATAACAACAATATGCCTACAAGGATGACTTGTTTTGTATCACTAATATTTAAATTTTGGTCACATAATGGTTACTCAAGGTCAGCAGTTCAAAACCATGCCATTGATAATCTGTGGCACTGTGGGTTTATGAGCTGGATTGTAAAGTGAATTTGCACTGCAAGACTGGTGGTTCAAAATCACTAGTCACTCCTCAAAAACACTGTACTGGGTTTCTATGGGTCGGAACAATCTAAACAGCCCCTGACAACAATAATACACAGAAAAAACAAAACAAAAAAACCCCCAGAATTTGCAATATAGAAACCTGCAAGACTAATAACTTTTTCATTGCCAATACCATGTTCTTAAAAAAACAACAACCCATAAATGGTGACTATGCACATGGACCTCACCTTATGGTATATACATAGAAATCAGTTGGCATATACTTGTGGGAAAACACAATGGAAAACTTCAGTATCATCCATCAAAGCAAGGCAAGGAACTGATTGTGGAGCAGACCATTAATTGCTCATATGCCAGCTCAGAGGAACTGAATAAAACTGAAATAACTCCATAAGAGCTGAAGTACAGCACTGATTATGACTTACCTTAATTCAGAGAATACGTCAAGGAAAGATTGTGTCCACTGAACACTAAGGACAGAAGTCTAGAGTAAGATAACATTAATAATATCACATATGATGATAACAAAAGGTCATTAAAAAAAAAAACAAACAGGAAAAAAAGTGATCAAAGTGGATATATAAAATTATTCTTGAACATTGCCGTTGTTATTAAGCGGCAATGAGTCAATTCCAACATATAACAATTCTGAATAGGGTTTCTGAGGAGTCGCTGCTGGGTTTGTACTGCCGACTCTGTGGTTAGCAGTCCAGTGCGTATCCTACAACTTATCCTAAGGATTCTTCAATACAGGTTAGCTAAAGAGAAATCAAGAAATGATAAAGAGTTGAATAAGAAAATTCAAACAACAGATCAAGAAGGAAAAATAAAATATTAAAACAAAATGTGTGAAGACCTGGCATTAGAAAACAAAAAGGGAAGAATACACTCAGCATTTCTCAAGCTAAAAAACTGATGAAAAATTCAAGCCTCAAGTTGAAATATTGAAGGATTCTAGTGTGCAAAATATTGACCAATGCAGTAGCATCCAAAGGAAATGAATATACTGAGTAGCTGTACCCAAAAGAATTGGTAGATGAACAATAATTTCAAGAGGTATTATATGATCAGGAACAAAGGGTACTGATAAAAAGAAGTCCAAGCCACACTAAAGTTCTTTGCAGAAACAAGGATCCAGGAATTTATTGAACACCTAGAGAAGTGTTTCAACAGCCTGATGCAAGGCTGACGCAAGGTCATTTATACCAAGACATTTGCAAGACAGCAACCTGGTCACCAACTGAGAGAAATCCATATTAGTGTTTATCTAAGGAAGATGACCTACAGAATGTGGAGATGATCCAGCAATATCATCAATATCATACACAAGTCAAATTGTGCTGAAGATATTTCAAAAATGGTTTCAGTAGTGCATTGATATGGAGCTATGAGAAATTCTAGCAGGATTCCGAAGAGGATGTAAGATGTGGGATATAATTGCTGACATCAGATGGCTTTTTATTGAAAGCAGAGAATACCAAAAAGATTCTTACTGGTGTTTTATTGGCTATACAAAGACACTCTATTGCATGGATCATAACAAACTATAGATACCATTGCCAACAATGGGAATCCCAGAAATCTTAATTGTACACTTGTGGAAACTGCATTGACTAAGAGGTAGTCATTCAAATAAATAAGGGGATACAGCATGGTTTAAAATCAAGAAAGGTAGACATATGGGTTTTATCCTTTCATCATACTTATTCAGTCTGTAATTAGAACAAATAATAATCCAGCAATCTGGACTATATGAAGAATAACACGATACCAGGATTGGAGAAAGGCTGACTGACAACCTGCCATTTTCAGATGATACAACTTTTCTTGCTGAAATGAAGAGTACTTGAAGCATTTATAGACACATATCAAAGACTAAATGGAGCTCTGGTAGCGTAGTGGTTACGAATCGGGCTGTGAACCTTAAGGTCAGTGGTTCGAAACTACCAGCTGCTCCGCGGGAGAAAGATGAGGCTTTCTACTCCCGTAAAGATTTACACCCTCGGAAACCCTGTACAGGGTCGCTATGGGTCGGAACCGACTCAACAACACTTAACAACAACAACATTCAAAGACTAAAGCATTCAATAAGGATAACAGGACAATGAAAGAAAACAAAATATCCTCACAACTGGAACAATACATAGAGAAACATTAATAATGCCAAAAATTTCATTTTACTTGTATCCATAATCCTTGCTCATGAAAGTAACAGTCAATGAATCAAATGCTATATGGCCTAGAACAAATCTGCTGCAAATTAAAAAATATAGAGAGACAGCAATGTGTAACTTTGAAAAATATTATGTGCCTGACCCAAACCATTGTGTTTTCAATCACCTGAAATGCATGTGAAAGCTGAACAGTGAGGAAAAATACAATAGAAGAATCTATGCATTTGAATTATGATGTCCACGAGGAAGATTGAAAGTTCTGTGGTCTATCAGAAGAAAGAAACCTCTTTTGGGAGAAGTACAGCAAGAATGTATTCCCTTGGACTTTATCTCACATACTTTGGACATTTTGTCATGAAGGAATAATCCCCGAAAAAGGACTTCATCATTAATTGGTAAAGTACAGGTTCAGTGATAAACAGGAAGACTTTAAGTGAGATGGAAAAATATAGTTAATGCACCTCAAGCATAAAAACAATTGTGAGAATATCTGTGCATTTCATTTTATTCTGAATAGTGTCACTAACAGAAATAATATGTAACAGATTTTTAACTGTAATTGGCCTATAGTTTTGTTTCTTGTGTGGTGCTTGTCTGGTTCTGATCAAGTTACCACTGCCTCGTCAATGGCATTGGTAATATGTTCTTTCTTCTCTTAATTTCTGGATACTCTTTTTTCTTAATGCTTTTATTGTATGTTGAGTGAAGGTTTACAGGGCAGATCATGAGTTTTTTATTCAACAAATCATTGCAATGCTTAAAATTCCCTCCATGCACCATCAGATAACAATATTTACCTCTTTTACCCTGTGTGTGTGATGTACACATACCACATTGAAAATATATATTAGTTCAAGTGTCCAAAAGGCACACTTTGCAAGCCACTCTCCTGCCTGCAGGCATAATGCCGTTCTCAGTCTATAGGCCTATAGACCTCTGCTGGTCCATCTCTCTATACCATGACCTCTACCACCACCTCTAATGTCACCAGCAACTTTTAAGGTGTATCGACTTCAACCCTACAAATGCTCAATAGAATTCCCAATGGAGCCTGTCTGGTCCTCGATTTTTCTGAGTTGTTATTGTTGTTAAGTGTTGTCAAATCAATGCTGACCCATAGCTACCCTTTATATGGTTTTCAAGGAGCAGCTGGCTAGCTTGAACCAACAAACTTGCAATTCAAACAATTTTGCACTCTGATGATTAACCCACAGTGCCACACCAGGACTTAGGAGGGTGGTAATATGGCTTTGATCTCTTCACTTGTTATGGATCTGTTGCAGTCTTCTATTTCTTGATGAGTTAGTTTGCTGTCTTTATGAATGTGCCAACTGGAAATGTCATTGATCCTTAAACATTCTTCTGCATTCTTCAGTTGAATGTCTCTAAATCAGGATTGCAGAGTTTAAGGTGAAAAGCACAAAAATTAATCAAGTGCTTGAGGAAGAAATATTTTGTAACTGAGAAATTTTTCTGAAGATGGTGTATAGTGTTTTAAGTGTAATTTCTTTACTTGCAAATATTATATATTTAAATTGTAGACACAGGACAAGTGTCTGTTTTCTCATGTCCTTAAATTTACCAACATTTCTTTATTTTCCCAAAGGTGTCTCTGCAACCTGGAGCCACAGAATCTAACACATACCTCTGACTTCCTACTCCTGGGTCTCTCAGAGGATCCAGAATTGCAGCCCTTCCTTTTTGGGCTCTTCCTGTCCATGTACATGATCACAGTGCTTGGGAACCTGCTCTTCATCCTGGCTGTCAGCTCTGACCCTCAGCTCCACACCCCTATGTACTTCTTCCTCTCTAACTTGTCTTTGGCTGACATTGGTTTCACCTCTGCCACGATCCCAAAGATGCTTCTGGATATCCACACACACCACAGAATCATCTCCTATGTTGACTGCGTAATTCAGTTGTCATTTTTTGTTTATTTTGGATGTACGGACAACCTACTCCTTACAGTGATGGCATATGATCGATTTGTGGCCATCTGTCACCCACTTCACTACCCAGTTATTATGAACCCTTACCTCTGTGGCTTGCTAGTTTTGGTGTCTTTTTTTCTCAGTCTCTTGGATTCCCTGCTGCATTGCTTGATGGTGTCACAACTTACCTTTTGCCCAGAAGTGCTAATTCCTCAGTTCTTCTGTGACCCTTCTGAACTCCTCAACCTTGCCTGTTCTGGCACCATCACCAAAAATGTTCTAGTCTATTGTTTGGCTGCCATTTTGGTTGGTATTCCAATTTTGGGGATCCTTTTCTCTTATTCTCGAATTGTTTCCTCTATACTAAGAATTCCTTCATCCGATGGCAAGTATAAAGCCTTTTCTACCTGCAGCTCTCATCTGTCGGTTGTTTTCCTTTTTTATGGAACAGGTATCGGTGTGTACCTGAGTTCAGTTATCTCACCTTCTCGCAGGAGTGGTGCAATAGCTTCAGTGATGTACTGTGTGGTCACACCCATGCTGAACCCTTTCATCTACAGCCTGAGGAACAGGGATATCAAGAAGGCCTTGCAGACGTTCCTCAGCAGACCAGAATAATATCAATATTTGTGCAATCTTTTTTGGTTTATGCATTAGATTAGGCAAACAATCATTGTTGTGGAACTGAAAAAACATGCCCCTTGGATCACATAATTTTTGTTGCTCTCATTGGTTTCATTGATACTTCAATTCAAGTATTTTTCATTTGGCCTATTTGTGGGGAAGAGAATTGGAGGATTTCTGGAATCTGTGGTACTCTCTAATATATGCCCATTTGAGTTCTAGGAGTCCAGGTATGGCATTGTAAACACTGGATCACAAGGTTGGTTTGAACCACAAAATCGTCAGTTCAAGGCCAGAAGTCACTCCTTAGAAATGCTCTACAGGGTTGCTGTAAGTCAAAACTGGCTCGGCCAGCACTTAACAACACAACAGTTGAGTTTATGCCACCAATGGAGCTTTCTGTATTTGTCATTTATGACACAGGCATATTGATGAAATGCACAAATTACATGAAATAAAAAGTACAATTCACCACCCTTCCATAACTTCATGCCTATTATTCATACACCATTACATCTGTCATATCAATTTATGAAATTTAGGTGCAACAAGATTGTTATTAGTCATTAAATTAAGCTTCTTATTGAAACCATTGGGTAAACTTTAAAAATATTCATGCCTACATAACACAACCAGAGATTCTGATTTATTTAAAGTGGTGAGTCAGAAGGTTTGTTTTGTGTTTTTATTTTTTTTATTTTTCCCAGGGAGTACTTTATTATTGTTTAGTGCTGTCAAGTAAATTCCTACCCAGAGCCACCCTGTATAGGGTTTTCTCAAAGTGACAGGCAAGCTTGAAAAGTGTTTCAAACGAACTTTGTAGTCCAGTATATTAACCTCCCTTTTGTGTTCTAACACCTCGTCTTTGCACACTTCATTATAATACTTTACTTTTTCTTCTAGAACTGCTCTTTGAAATCTTCCGTTTAGCTCTTTAAACCATCATTTCTTCCATGCATTTATGAGACACTACTGTCAAGAACAAAATTCAGAGGCTCTTCTCACATCCATTTTGGACTTTTCTTTCTTTTTAATTACCTTTGCTCTCTTCATGTACTATGTCCTCATTGTCTAGTTTAAGTTATTAGGTGCTCAGTGTGTCAAATCTATTCTTGAGGTGGTCTCTAAATTCAGGTGCAATGTGATCAAGGTCATGCTTTAGCTTGTGGGAATTTGTTTTAATTTTCTTCATCTTCAACTTGAACTTGCATACAAGCAAATTATGGTCTATCAGTTTCTGGTCTAGTCAGGTTGTGTCCTTGTTCTAACTGATGGTATGGAGCTTCTACGTTATCTCTTTTCAGAAATGTAGTTTATTTGATTCCTGTGTATTCCATCCAGTAAGGTCCATATCTTTCAATCACGGTATGCTGTGGGAAAAAAGGTATTTGCAATGATTAAGTCTATAGTTTTACAAATTTCTATCATAGGATCCACAGAATACTTTCTATAACCAAGGCCATATTTTCAGACTACAGATCCCACTTTTTTGTTTCCAATGTTTGCATTCCAATCACAAATAAATATTAATAAATTTTGACTGCATGCTTGCTCAATTTCAGACTCCAGAAACTAAAAAAATATAGAAATTAGTGGTTGGTATATAAAGGAGCTCTGGTAGCGTAGTAGTTACTAATTGGACTGCAAACCTCAGGGTCAGCAGTTCAAAACTACCAGCTGTTCCATGGGAGAAAGATGAGTCTTTCTGCTCCTGTAAAGATTTACAGCCTCGGAAACCCTGTACAGGGTCGCTATGAGTTGGAATCGACTCCACAGCACTTAACAACAAATATAAATTAGAATAATAGTGATACTAACTGGGCTTCCAGGTGGGGATATGGATATTATCCTATCACTGACAGCACTGCTTTTCAAGATAGATCTTAAAATGTTCTTTTTAGCAAGACAATACCATTCCTCTTTAATTTGTCATTCCTGGCATAGTAGATAATATATTTGACTAATTCAAAATGCTGAGTACCAATCCAGTTCAACTCATTAATCTCTAGATATCTATCTTTATGCTCCCCATTTCATTTTTGATGAATTCCAGTGTTCCTAAGAGGAAGACCCCCAGCGAAACAGACTGGCAAAGTAGCAGAATCAATGGGCTCAAGTGTGGCAACAATAGGAGGTTGGCCCATGATTAAGCAGTGTTTCATTCTTCTGTGTATAAGCTCGCTATGAGTTGGTACCGACTCAATGGCACCTAACAATAAGAACAACAACTTTCCTAGGTTCATACATTGTAGATTCCACAATTTGATTACTAATGGACAGTTGCAGCTGTTTCTTCTTCTTAATTGGTGCCATAACACATCAGCAAAAGAAGGAGCTGAAAGCTCTACTGCTTACATGACATTGTTGTTGTTATTGTTGTTAAGAGCCATTGAATCAGTTCAAACCAACCTTGCAGTCTAGTGTTTTATTCCCTGTTATATAACTTATTACATTTAAAGTACTTAGACTAAATTGGGCAATGCATACATTCTCTATAAATACTGGAACCCTGGTGTGGTGCTGTATAATAAGCACTTTACCAAAAGGGAGGTTTGAATTACAAAGTTTACAGTTCAAAACTCAACAACCACTCTCAGAACCAGATACAGGGTAGAGATAAGTTGGAACTGACTCAACAGTGCTAAACAACAACTATAAAAACTAGATATTGTAGCTACTCCTTGCTTTTGTAGTATTCACTTTAAACCACTTCACTTTCATGAAAGAACTATATTCATACCTGTTTTTACTAACCAAAAGAAATCTTGTAGGATAACAGTTTTGAGAGGCTGAATACAAGTATGCTTCTGTCTGTAGCGACCTCACTCTAAGTCACAGTTAAGTAACACTTGCTAGGGTGATCTTGGATGTTATGGTTCTGTCACCATTCCACCTTTGTTCACCAGAGTTATATATGCCACTGCCTTCTTTTGGGACAAATTATGGGCAGTGCCCAGACAAACCAGAGGAGGATTTTTCTTTTAATGAACAAAAGGGGGTGGTGGTGGAAATCATTAAGTGTTTGTACTGCAATGACCTACTAAAGAAGCAGTCTACAGCATGGGACTTCTGGTGTGGTACTATAGGATCATCAGTGGACTGTGAACCATAAGGTCGGCAGTACAAACCTACTAGCTGCTCCTGGAAAACCCTATACATGGTCGCTATGAGTTGGAACTGACATGATGGTACTCAACAACAACAAAATTCACTTAAGGGAGTGAGAGTGATGTCACAAAACCCCTTCCTCCAGAACTGCACTTAGCATCTCAGCAACAAGTTACCAGAGCTTGAAACTATGTCTGTGAACACTATGCTAGTCCTATTTTTGGTTTTATGCATTATTTGATATGATTAATTTCTAGACCTGAAAATATTAAAAAATGTTTCTCATATAAGTCAATGGTAATTGTTTTTTTTTTTCAATTTGGCTATTTCAGACTATGAACATTTTCATAAGAATGCTCAGATTTACATACCAGGGGAAACTTGTATTATCATTTGCTTGCACTTTCATAAGCAGTTCCTAAGTGACAAGCAATTCAGCATATGGCCACTAACTAACCTGCAGAAAAGCTGATGATTTAAACAAACCCAGTGGTGCCACAGAAGAATCACTGTGCAACCTACTTCTCAAAGGTCACAGTTACTGAAAATCCTACGGAACACAACTCTACTCGGCCACACATGGGGTTACCAAGAGTCTGAACTGACAGAATGTTTTTTGATGTTTTGGTGCTTTTACGCTGATGAGCATATTTTTTTAAGTTTGTAGTACAAAATTTATTTTCCAGAAAAATATTTACCATGTTCAGTCATGTACAAGAAGTCACCTAAATTCAATTTTGCAAACCTCATTGCTTTTTGTATATTAATTTTTACATTTAAAAGACTCCTCACTATGAGGACATGGAGAAATAGAGTAGCTGAGGACTCTAGACTCATGGAAAGAGAAAGGCTGAGTGCAGGATTGCAGAATGTGCCCTTTGGTTTAAATGATTATATACTCCTGAGTGTTTTTGCATACACCACATTCTCCCCCACCAAAAAAAAAATAAAAAAATGCAGAAGGAATAGAAGCAAATACTACTGAATGATAATGCATAGAGGAAATTATAATCATTGCAATGAAATGATGAGTGTAAACCTCATGTTCTTTCATGTAAACTATCACTCAATTCACAATAAAAACTTAAAAACAAATGAAGAAAAAGACTCCTCTTTTCTGGTTAGTGTTCTGGACTGTAAGGTCAGTTTGTACTGCAAAATCAGCAGGTCAAGTTCACCAGCCACTCCTCAGAAACCCTTTACAGGGTCGCTATGAGTTGAAACCAACTTTAAGGCACTTAACCACAACAAGAGAAATGAGGAACCTATTGCACCAAATACAGGGAGTTTCCTGTCTGATTGTTGTTTTCACAGTCTCCACTATTGGAAATCGCTTTGTCAAAGGTCATAGTCCATTTCTGAGGCAGCCCCATAAATGGTTAATCGATGTTGGGGTATAAATACTTGACTACATTGCCCCAACTGCTATTCATGTTGTTTAGTGCCAGGGAATTGGTTTTGACTCTGGCAACTTTGTATAAGGTTTTCAAGGAGCAGCTGGTGATATTGAACCTCCTCAACTGAAACTCACTCTTAAAGATCTATCCAGCTTCAGAGCTCCCTCCTTGTGATGTTGAAGGCCTTTGATGGACAGTTCCTTCACTTGACTTTGTCCTTAAACATCTCCCACATCCCATGGGTATTGATTTTTGGAGCATTCATACTAAATGGCCTGTATGCTAATCTCCATTTCAGAAACTGTTTCCCAAAGGACTCAGTTTGAGCCAATTTGTTACTAAGAAAATGCATTAGGTTTTAAAATCAATTCTGGAGAAATACTTTAAATGGCCAGTAATGTTCTGGAGAAGTTCCTGTTGAAGGATGTCATGCTGGGAAAAGTGGAAGGATGGTGACAAAGAAGAATACTCTCACTGAGCTGCATTAAC